GGGTGAGGGTGGGGGTGCGGGTGGTGTGGTCGGAGGGCGCGACTGAGAAGGGCGGGCGCGCGGCGCGTGCGCAGGGGCCACGAGAAGCTGGACGTGATGGACGGGAAGCTGTCGGCGCTGCAGGCGCTGGACTACAAGGTGGAGCGCGTGGCGGGGCGCGTGGGGGAGGCCGAGGCGCGGCTGGCGGCGCTGGCGCGCTCCCTGGACGCGCACCGCGACGCGCACCGCGACTCCTACGCGCTCTTCGGCGACGTGGCGGCGCGCGGCGTCGTCAGCACGCTGCGCATCATCGAGCGCAAGGTGGACCGCCTGCAGGTACGCACCACGACGCAAGACAAGCAGTTCTCGAGACACAGACAGACATTTCTCCTGCATTAATTACTTAAGCAACAGTCAGGTGTGAATTGAACTGAATCGATTCGAATCGAATCTAATCGAATCTAATCGAATCGAATCGAATTGAATAATGCCTTATTTTTACGTGGCGAGACTGAGGCCATGAGGCCTGCTCTTCCGTCTGACCACACAAATTTTGCTACGCTCGTTTCACCAACTAGCGGGGAAAGGAGGTATTTCTTGGGAGACGAACAGGCGATTTGAATTTACCTCAGAGGCGTCATTTATGCTTGAGGATCTTTTACATGCAAGTAAATCTATTAACATGGGACAGCCGACTTTACTTCCCCTCCGAAGGAAGTCGTACGAAGGATTGTTTTGCTCTTAAAAATCCACTGCGTTCTTCCTGTTTGAACCCGCCAACTTGGGAATAACAGTCCGATACCCTAACCATTACACCATCGCCGCCGCAAAATATCAGGCTGCGTGCTTGGCATTCCAAATGGTTCCTTGCCAGGCTCCCCCGAGCTACGAATTTTACCAGCGGACATGAGGTGTAGGGGACATTGGCAGATGATTTTCTGGGATAATTCTCATACAGCTACGTGCACGTTATCGAAAGTACGCACGCTGGCTTGAAAGGTTATAATGACAAGAATCATGATAATAATAGTAATAATTTATTATTTCGTTTAGAAACTTATTTGTGCTTGTGACAAAGAAGTTCAAGAGGTGCGATGTAAATCTTAATTCCAGAGAAATCTGGAAAATTGTCACAAAAACTGAATTCTTGAAATTCGTTAAATGGAGCAACAATCCATAGTTGCGGTAATAAGGCCTTTCGACGGAATGTCTTAAAGAATAGATGAGCAATGAAGGCTTTATCGAGGCTATCGATAACAAATTACACAGTGAAGATAGTGTCAGCTCCTATAAGGCTGACACCAAAAGATGTAGAGAAACCCGACTTGCCTGTCAATATCTGCTCTGTAAGTGGTGTTACAGTTGACCTGCAACAGTTGTGTTTGCAAATGCAAACTTTATGAAGACGACTTAAAAGTAGAAGCATGCCGGATCGGTTGTCGGCCTGGACAGTATCGACCGTGACTCATAGTGAGGACCTTGGACATCCCGCTGAAAATAGGCTTCTGAATCTTCGACTTATCATCCAATTCTTAGGACTGTAGATGAAGTAAGGGCTGAATATAAACGGAAGTTGAATGAAAAGAGGTGCTTTTAGCAATTCAACTTTCACTAAAACGGATAACAAAAAATAACTACCAAACATGGCAGAAACATACCCGATCTCTGAAATCACAGAATTGCGCCTGGCTGGCCAGAGAAGAGGGAAGGTGCGAGGCAATCACCTCACTACCTTACAAATAGAACTCCATCGCACAAATTAGTCAGTCCCAACTGGCGACGAAGATGTAGTAGATGAACCGAAAGGGAACAATAACAAGTTCCTAAGATAAGAGTTTCTGACTAATGTGAAGAAGGATGAATAACAAAATGCAATGAGCTAAGAAAGTAAATAAGACAGCATGTTTTGGAGCTATAGAAAATGGGCCCTAAGAGTGTCGCAGAGGCCTATGGAAAACATGACACGTGCGGCGAACTGAGGTATCGCCACCATATTAAAAACAGTAAGAAAAGAATAAAGTCTTATATGCAGTACAGTTCGCATCTCTGAAGAGCGGATACTAGCTTAACAATGCCGTGGCCATAATTGATAATTCATTTAACTGCAAGTTTGCCTCGTTATTGACGTAACCCGATATTTTGGTGAGCAGTGACATCCTTCTCTGAATGTAGGGAGTAATTTTTTCATTAGATGGTACAACTGAATGTTTACTGATAAGTAAAGTTTAAATATACTTTAAATATAGTTTCTTATAAGTATGGTTTTCTTAGAAATTTCACTGTATTCATATTTATTTAATAAGTGGACTCAGGATCAGTCGATTATGTTGTCGATACGATCTGCAATCTACAGTGCGCCAGGAAAGCTTCTCCGCAGTGAAACCTTTCTAGTGAGAGTGCTCGCAAAAAAATTATGTTGGTAGGACGAGCTACAGCTTTTAACAATAGAAAACGAAAATTCAGAACTTACCACAATCATAACAGATGCTGTAAGTGTTAGCGTAAGCTTCCGCGGCCGGAGTCATTATTTACTAGGCTGTCCGGGTGACACCGTGTCCATGGCGAAGGTACCGACGTTTCGGTCGCCATTCTGCGACCTTCCTCGAATTACGCTATGAAGAAGGTCGCAGAATGGCGATCGAAACGTCGGCACCTTCGCCAAGGACGCGGCGTCACCCAGACAGCCTAGTAAATGCTGTAAGTGTTCACTTGCTTCTCAGTGACGTTTGCCTCCAAAATAAATGCAATTTTTGATGGGCGGCCCTGACTCGGCCTAGTGCGGAGAGTCTTTCCTGGCACTCTATAGTTGTTGGATTTGTTTTCTAGGTGGGACTTACACATATCAAGAACCACGAGGGTCACGGCGGCGGCGGAGGAGGAGGGGGAGGAAGGGGTGGAGGGAAAGGTAAGCGCTGATCCCACGCCTAGGCCTTCCACACACGCCATCGCGCTGCCCTCTCAAATTCCCATTCACAATGCAAACATAAACATAAGCGTGGCTTTAACATTAAAGTTAGGACTACGTCCATAAGCGCACTCATTCACAATGCGTTTGCATAAGCATAGAACGTAAGACGTTAACTTAAAAGCTTGCAAGCTTCAAGCTCCTGTGCCACCCCAAAAAAAAAGGGAAGGGGAAGGGGAAAAATTGCCAAAATGGGTCCCCGATAGAGCCCGGAGGGAAATTTTTCCGGAATAAGAAACCCGAAAACCTACGGCATAAATGAGCAATGAGACCACAGTCCCCGATTTACTCTTTCGAAATTGTTCTCACACTTCCAACGCAATAGTAAACTAAAATCTCACACGCAATTAGAAACCCTCAAAATTTCTCGGCTATCCGCGAAGACGCCGCGGTCGTGGCTGGGAGGCCCACGGTTTCGCCTCACATGCCCAGGCTTCCTCAGGGCAGTGACAGCTGGCCGTGACGGTCACTCCCTGAGAAGCCTGCGACGTGTCAGGCGAAAGTCGCCTCCCACGAACGACGCGGCGCCTCCCGTTTAGCCGAAAATTTAATGGGATTCGAGCCGCGGAAGCTTACTGGTACAAATAGAAACTCTATTTTGCTTACGTTTATGTTAGACATTGGTGAATACGTTCAGTCTATCACTTATGCGCTGATCTTATGTTTTATGTTTGCAATTGTGGCGATGCCTTCAGAGCATGTGTGTGTTGTGGATGGGGAAGAAACTCGAAGCGGCAACCGCTCGGGCGGGGGCGGGGCGGGGGCGCGGCGTGGGGTGGGAGGCGGAGGACGGCGGGCAGGCGAGCGTGGCGGCGCTGGCCGGGGAAAGCTCATCATCCGGTCAACGCGCCCGCGGCGCTGGAGGAGCCTGAGTGCGCGACGTGGCCGCCCAAGGTGGACGTCATGTTTCGACAAAAGATGGCCGGCGGGGCCGGCCGGGGAGGGGCGGAAGGCACGCTGGTCGCCTCGGAGCGCCCGCCCCGCGCCTCGGCACACATCCACGTCAGCGAGCTGCGCGACCTTGGCGGAAGAACAAGATGCCTGGAGCGGTAAGGGCCACAGCCCCCCTCCGCCTCCCCTCGTCTTTTTACAACCGGATTGTCAACTGGGATAGGGTTAGCAATATTTTGGTGTAAGTTTTTGAACTTTTTCGTCTCAGTTCTGTAAGGGCGAAAGAACGAGTATTGAATATTTGCGTCAAAATTTCGGCATCATTCAACATACAAAAAACTCTAGTGCGTCCCTGCTAAATATAGTAAAACTAGTGCTGGTAAAACACAATACTTTTCGACTTAAGT